TTCTTTCGGTCTTTCTCTCTTTCTCTCTTTCATCCTCTCTTTTTATCTCACATCCCTCTTCCCCCCTCTCTCTCCTTTTCCTCTTGCTCGCCTTCCTTCTATTTCTTTCTTTTTCATCTTCCTCTTCATTTCTTCCTCTCGCCCCCTTCTCTTCCGCTTTGGTTTCTTTCCCCTCTCTTTAATTAGGCTAACAGTTAGTGTTTTCATACTGTGTTTAGTTTTTGCACGATTAAGCTGCTCTGGGGAAGCAAAGCAAGCTGGAGAGCAGGGGTGTGAAAATGACCCCGCTGTCCTCACGCTTGGGCTATTTAATTCGCACTTGGTGAGCTCGTTAGGCTTGGGACGAAAGTTTTGCACGCATACCCAGGGCAGCACCGTGGCGTGGCTTTAAAATAAGAAAGAAACTTAAAAAAAAAAAAAAATAGCCCGTGGTGTAATTAGGAATCAGAGCCGTTGTGTTGTCCTGAGGGTCCTGCAGGAAGGTAATGATCCGCAATGAGAATCTTGTTCCTGGGTCACAGCTCTCAGAAAGGAGGTGAAATACCTGGGGCCGGTGGGGCCCAGATCCACGGAGGGATGAGCACTTTGGTGCCATCCTTTATGGAGAAGTGGAGAGGTTCAGTATTTACAACTAGAGTTTACCTGGATGGTTTAAAAAATAAGGAAAGAAACACAAAAAAAAAGGAAAAAAAAAAGGAGGGAAAAGAACAGAAGGTGGTTTGTGAAGCCGGACAATGATGTCTGTCATGGCAAAATCTAAATCCCCGTGGTTTGCAGTGGAAATAACCCCAAAATCGTGGAGAAAATGGGATGAGCAGAGTGAGATGGAGCCCAGCGGGCTCAGGAGGCTGCTCCCAGCCCTCAGCAACTTGTTGAGTGTGAGCCTGCATTAGGCTCCGCTCAGTAACTGCATTGTTCTGCCATTAGTCCCTTTAAAACAATTATTTTTAAGGATCAGCAGCCTTTGTCCTTTCTTTCTTTTCTTTCCTTTTCATTTCTTTTTTTTCCCAATATATCAGCAGAAAGTGGAAATGCGGTCTCTCTGATCTAGCCTGAATATTATTTACTATGCTACTTCCTGGGGAAGATAATGAATCTTGACCCTTTCTATTCGTATAACCCACCTTCCCTTCCTTTTGAGCAGCGACTTTCAGTATTGTTCACGAGTGCCTGGTATGGTGAAAACCAGTTTGGAGCTTTTCTAGGCACTCAGGAGCTCCCCATGCAAACATGTGTGTCCACCCTGTAACTATCTGTGGCTCTATACATCCGAGTTTGCATCTCTCCTGTATGTTCAGCACTCTCTATACACAAATCACAATGCCTACAGAGGTTAGGGATCTCTGGGTGTCAGAGACTTTCCAGGGCTTTATCATCAGACACAAACTTGCTCCCTTCCAATTGAACAACTGTGTTTTCCATCTTCCAGCCATTTGCTCAAGTTGCTGTGCGTTTGGATGGATTTAATTCTTAGGATGGATTTTTCTGTTTGTTTGTATTTGCAAGGGCCGAAAATAATTTGAAATATTAGGTACGAGCCCTTAGGAACATTTATAACCAAAGGGAAAAAGATTTCACTGCAGAAATCCAGTGGATTGTTTTTTCCCCACAAAGTCCAGGTCTGTATTTTAAAAGACAAGTGAAGCGTCCCTTGTCACAAAAAGGGTTTGGAGCGTTTATTTGAGGCAATTGGTACCCTCTGCCTGTGCCATATCATCGCAAAAAAGCCCTCTAACATTTCTGTGCAGTCTCGTGGAAGAAGAAAAGACAAACTGAGTGGTTTGCAAAGTTTATCAGCCCTGTTGCAAAGGTCATTATCATGTCCGTGGGCATTTTCTGGTCTTCTTCGTTTGACCAGAGAATTCCCAGGGTTTATAGCTCACGGCTCTGTTCGGGAAATCATTTTCCAGCTAAGACAGAAAAAAAAAATATTTCTGCAGTCGGGACTTGGCAATTTCACGCAGGATCTTTGCTTCAAAGTCTTCGTGGGATTGCCTGGAAAACGGCGAGAGTGAAGCAGAGCTCGCAAATCCCGTGTCACAGGGCTGGCACCCTGCTTGGAGGGTCCCGACCCCAAAACCCGTTCCTCAGCAGGACCGGAGCTGCCACTCCGTTCTCTTGCAGCTTTTAAAATTTAATTTTGAATGAGGAACGGGCTTTCTCATCAGATGTAATTTCCCTCGCATGCTGAGCTCTTTGGGAAGGACCAGGGGTGGCGGTGGGATGAGCACGTCCCGGGACCCCACGGGGGCTTTGCCGGGGTGGCAGAGGGATGTGACCGACGTGTGTCCGTGTTTCTCTCCGAGCAGGGAGCCAGGTGTGCCGCCCCCCGCTGCTGCACGGCTCGCTGCCCTGGCTGGACGGCAGCAAGGCGCTGAGCAGCCACCACAGCGCTTCCCCCTGGAACCTCAGCCCCTTCTCCAAGACCTCCATCCACCACAGCTCACCGGGACCCCTTTCCGTCTACCCGCCCGCCTCCTCTTCCACTTTGTCCGCCGGCCACTCCAGCCCGCACCTTTTCACCTTCCCGCCGACCCCTCCTAAAGATGTGTCCCCGGATCCGTCCATCTCCACGCCCGGCTCCACCGGCTCCACCCGGCAGGACGAGAAGGAATGCATCAAATACCAGGTGTCCCTGGCCGATACCATGAAGCTGGAGTCCTCTCACTCTCGGAGCAGCATGGCCTCTTTAGGAGGAGCCACCTCCTCCGCTCACCACCCCATCACTACCTACCCACCGTATGTCCCAGAATATGGCTCTGGACTTTTTCCCCCCAGTAGCCTCTTAGGAGGATCGCCAACCGGCTTTGGGTGTAAATCGCGACCAAAAGCACGGTCAAGCACAGGTAGGGCTTTTGGCTTCTTCATCCCCGTTGCTCGGGAGAGGAAGCTGAGGGGGGAAAAGTGGGGGGCAGAGGAATGGGGCTGAGCCCTCGCTGCCCCCGCACGCAGGGACAACATGTGCTCGAACATCCCTGTGATGAGCAGCAGGGGCTGAACCCTCGTGGGGGACACACACGACGCTTCACCTTCCCCACAGGTTGCTCTGCTAGGTTTATAACCAAATTCCCCCTCGTGCAAGGCTGGCTGGGGATGGAACCAGGCCCAGGAACCCGAACCACCCAGCCGGTGCCGCGGGGCTCCANAAAAGAAAAAAAAAAGCCAAAATAACCCCCCTAAAACCAAGGAAAAGTAAGAGCTGGGCGGTAGGAACGCGGTGGGAGCTGCTGGGCTGGGCTCCGAGCTCGGAGAGAGCGAAAGAGAAAGAGGCGCTGGGAGAGAGGTGGGTCCAGGGCAGAGCAGGCGCTTCCCAGGGATGGCTGCCGAGGGATGGGATGGGTTTGGTGCTGCCTAAAAAGTCAGGTGCTAAAGTTCAGAACTTCTCAAGTACGTTTCTCTCCCTGCCTCTCCCCCTCTCTCTCTCTCTCTCTCTCTGCTCCTTCCCTTTCCTCTTTCTCGTTACAGGTGATCAAAGAAGAGAAACATCTGCAACAGAGCGGAAGAAACGAGGGGATCTCGCTTCTTAGAGAAATTTTTCCCCCGAGATTTTTTTTAGTTTTGTTTTCCCTTTTTTTCTCTCTCCCTTTTTATTTTATTATTTTTTATTTTTTAATTTTTTTTTTTTTTTTTTTTGGAATCGATCGTTTATCACCATACCCCCAACTCTCCCTCCACACTTTTAAACCAAACCTAACCAGAAACATCCCCGAACTCGCCGGGCACTTTTCCCCCGCCCTGCTGCACAACTCCGGCAGCGTCTCCCGCTCCGATCTCCAGAAGCCCTCCGCGCCTTGCTGAGGACGAGGAGGAGGAGGACGAGGAGGAAGAGCAGAAGATGGAGGTCTCCACGGACCAGCCGCGGTGGGTGAGCCACCACCACCCGGCCGTGCTCAATGGGCAGCACCCGGACTCGCATCACCCCTCGCTTGGCCATACCTACATGGACCCCACGCAGTATCCTCTCGCCGAGGAGGTGGATGTACTTTTTAATATCGACGGACAAGGCAACCCCGTCCCGCCGTACTACGGCAACTCCGTGAGAGCCACGGTGCAGCGGTACCCCACGGCCCACCACGGTGAGTGTCCGTCTGTCCGTCCCGCCGAGACCCCGCGGCTGCCGGGCAGACCCTCTGCTGCCGGGGGGGAAGCTACGTCACGGGTGGATTTTGGGGTTGGCTTATTGGAAATAAATAAAAATTCAGGCTTCCTTCCTTTCTTTCTTTTTTTCTTTCACTTTCTTTTTTTTTTAAA